ACTTCAGCCCCATTATCATTGGTTTGTCTTACAGTGTATCCCCCTAGCTTCTTGCTCAGATCTTGGCAATATCTGTCTGCATAGGGAACCAACTTTCCCTTCCATCTCAATTCTTGTTTCCTCCTCTTGTTGAACTTTTCCGTAAATTTGCTTCTAAGTTTATCAACTAGGTCCACAACAGGAAGAAATCTGACATTTAATATCATGCATTCATAGATTCAGACAAGTTACTGACTACATAATGATTCCTAGCTGGATTTATGAACTTATATCTACACCCAAATAGAATGTTGATTTGAAGTCAATCTTGTGTATGATGCATGTGAAACTACTTCCAAAGAGCTCATATGCATGTTGAATTCCTCACTGCAGTAAGCCCTAACTGCATCCCATAATGTTTTCTCAAAAAAAATCCCTTTGAATTTTTTTTTGAAATTTTTCCAAAGATGTCTCAAACATACCCTATGCTTTGCATTAGGTAAAAGAGTAAACATTACCTGTAGAAGCCCTTTTTCTTGATCACTCATGACTGTTATGTTTTGAAGTATACTTCCCACTTCAACTATCATGTTTTGTAAAAACCAATGTCATGACTCACCACTTTCACCTTCTACAACAGCAAATGCAATAGGAAATAAACCATAATTTCCATTTACAACAGTGGCAATCAAGAGGGTACCAAGATATTTTGACTTTAAATGACACCCATTAAGGCCTATGAATGGCCTAATACCATGTACGAATCCTTGTACACTATCATTGAGACACAAACATCCTCTTAGAAGAGTTATCATCTTCAAGTTGCACATCCACATAACTTCCTGGATTCCTCTTTAAGAGCTCATTCTTTAAAGTTAAGACCAAGTCATAAGTAGCTTCTACATGACTAAATATCATTTTCCTAGCCTTTTCCCTCCCCCTCCAAGCTCTATTATAGTTGATTGTTAGTCCATACTTACTTAAAATCGTAGCTGCAATATCTCCGGGTTTAATATTAGGATTTTTCTTTACATCTTTTAGAATCTTATTGACAATCCAATAACAAATTGCTTGTTCATTCCCACACCCATTAACACCTACACATGAATGTGGACCTTCAAGCTTTGAAACCTCCATAGGTTTACCATCATACAAACACTTGCATCTCAGTTCCCACTTCCAACTCTCCCTTTTGCATTTTGCAACCAATCTGGTGGTGTCATTTTTAACATATTGATAATTAAAATTGTTCTAAATGCTATGTTGTTGCAAAGATATCCTCATATGTGTAAGGTCAATAAACTTCATGCCTATATAGAATTGAGGATCTTCTAACTCCCAAGTCATAAACAGCTTCACCATTCAATCCAACATTATCTACGTCATCTTTAATTTCTTCCTCATTCTCTGAACTCTTACGTGAATGATAATCATCATCAAGTAGACAGTCATCAGCATCATCTTCACAGTCTTCAACATTATCCACTTCAATTTTATACCCTTCCAAAAGATCTTGATCCACATTTTGTGCACTAGTGGCTTCTAAGTTTTCCTCATCTACTACAGTAATAAAATTATCACCATCTGCTTCATTATCATTTAAACCCCATTCAAAATCATTATCAGCTACACCCATATCAAATTCATCTTGAATTAAATTCATCTTGAATTATTCCCATATTGACAAACGTATCATCACTGACCCCAAGTCCTCTTCTTCTTCACTAGAGAGTTCATCTAAGTCTATATGAATGGTCTTGGTTGATTTACATGTATGCTCTCTAAGTATTAAGAACATTTGATGCCTCCTTTATAATAGATTTTTTACCACACCCAAAGAAACTCCTTTAGACTTAAACTCCATTAGACTTGATTCTAGCAAACACTTCAGGATTTATTAATTCCCTTCGTTTTAAATTCCCTTCGTTTCTTTGTGAGGGTTTCGTTCGCAGAGGGAGTTAAGTTGGCAGCGACGGAAAACTACTCCACCTCACAGAAAACCTACAAACCCTCATCTTGACTAATCTAAAATATTTTAGAAAAATCACTCAATTGACTACGGCTACCGCCAAGTCCCGTCATTTCTTCCTCTTTATGTTTTGGATCTACAAAATTAGTGACTTGTCTAATTTTTGCTGACTTCTTTAGACTTTAGGGAGCTAACTCATTTTCCTGATATTTTTATTAATTTATTGGGATTTTTGATGGATCTCAAAAAAATAGAGTGCCTTTCTTAGGAGATTTCTTTCGATTGTCGCTTGAGTTGGTGAAAGTAGACAATTGATTCAGCCAAATTTTTTATTTTCTTGGCTTACTATTTTGCCTGCTCGAAATCTCACAAACTTGTAAAACCTAAACCTAAGACATATGGGTGATCATGTATAAATCCTCACACAGCTCCCAGAGATCGTCAGTAGATATTTCAACAAGGAATTAAAGCAATTTTTTACTTGAGCTTACGCTACATAAGATAAACCTCAAATGACGTTCCCCAAAAGCTTGTTAAGAACTCTTAATAGTAGTACAATCTGCACTATCATCTTGAATCTCTAGATTCATACTTGCGTCCATAACTCGTATAATTTCATCAAGTGGACGAGAAGATAAACGAACATTATGACCTCTCACTCTAAACTATTGCATTTAGAAAAATTGGAATACTCTAGCCTGAAAATTAGAGGAAATAACAGCTTGGTGATTTCTCTGTACCAAGTGGTCTTAGCCTAAGAAAGTAAACATCGGCTTGGATAAAATTAGCGTTATGGGCAAGCAGCGTCCAAATAAAGATTCAAGTGACTAGTAAAAAATTAACTGTTCCAAACTTCATCATAAGCACGTCGTCCTAAATCAATTTCTAGCTATTCCAAACTATTCTGAGCTATTACTTCTTTTATAAAGAGCAATTTCTAGCTAAACTCTAAAAAATTATAGACTAAATAATCCAATCGAAGAAAATTCACATGAGCAACACAATCAATGTTAAAATCGTTCAATCTAAGAAGTAAAATCCTCAGATTAGGTGATGAGCATATGCATATAATCCAAAAACATATAAATTGTGCTATTTTTCAGCACAATATACCATCTTTATCAATTTATTTATCTCGGGTCCAAAAATTTGACTATACATGATTAGAAATTCAATTTGAAAACCGAAAGAGAAAGCTGTTTACTTGTCAGCTAACTGAAAAGCCTTTTTCCTATTCTTAATTAATTTTCCGTTTCTCCCGATTTTTTATTTTCTACCAAAAAAAACAAGAATACACTGGCATTTGAAAAACCACTAGCTTAGTTGTGAATAAAGAACTGCATATTGACAGCTTTTTCTCCAAAATAATCGCTATAAGAAAAAATTTTAGAGGAAATTTGAGAGAAAACTGGTAAAAAACTAACTAATTAGCAGCTTTCCCCCTCCTTTCCCCTTCAAAATACCGATCCAAACGGGCGGCAACGGAAAACACATCCACGAGCGTGCGCCACGCCTCCTTCATTTTCTAAGAAAGGCGTCCACATGGGAATTCTCTGGAGCCCCCTTCCCTCGAACGCGAGCGAGCGAGCGAGCGAGGGTGGGGGGGGCTTCAACAGGGAAAAGCCCCTTTCAGATCTCCGTTCTTATGGACAATCATCAGGACGCTTCTGGGCATAACAAATTTCTATGAAAATTCACCATTACGAATAAATCAACAAGACAACAGCGAATTGAGGAGGCATCCTCAGTGGTAGTGACAATATAACGAAAATCGTCATCACAAAAAAAAATTCCGATAATACGTGCATTAGTAATGCATCACCGGATGCCATGACAAGAATAATAATCGATAAAAAAAAAAATTGGTGGTTGAGATTTGCATCAGAGAGATTCCCATCTAGACTTTGTCATCATCCTCGTTAGAGATCTAACGAGCTGCTGATGTCCCTGTCTGTTTTATCGTCACTTGCAACAAATTTAATTCAAACGTACCAAAAAGAAAAACGGATAATTATGAAGAAAAACGCCTCAGATTTAGATGCTTTTCATGGTTTTTTTTGTTGTAAACAAATAACCTCAAAGTATATTTAAACCCATCACAGGCAGTGAAAATAAACAGCATGTAGAAAACACAAGCAGGATTATGAATTTGTATAAGAACAAGTAAAAAGGATTTTTAAAAAAAATTAATTAAAAGATTAGCAGACAGAAATTATTGGACCGACTCCAGAAAGAGGGAGAAACACAGGCGGAGGAGCGAGGAGGAGGAGAAGAGAGTAGAGCGAGATGGCGGCTAGGGTTGGGATTTAGTCTCATTATATAGAGGTTTTTGCAGTACTGAAGTTATTGGGCCCTTATTCGTTGGCCCAAGCCCGATCTATATTGTTCCGCCGGATATATGGGTTAATCCTTGGCTAAATGGCGCTTAAATACCCTAATTTTTCACTATCTTTATATTTAAATAATCTAAGTTGTAAAAGGTAGCATAAAAATACCCCAGGTTATCTACAGTTAGAATTAAGCTAGTGCCGATTAGTTTTGATGAAAATGTCCTCTATTAAAATATTAATAATAAATTAATATGGGGGAACATAGTGATAAATTCATGTGTACTATGCATATGGGAATATTCCTAGGAATATTCTGTTATCTATTTAACAGAATGTAGCAGTGTGATACTTTTTGATAACTTAGAATATTTAGGTGTAAAGGTAGTGAAACATTAAGGTATTCAAGTGTCATTTAGCTTTAATTCTTGGATAAATTTTACTAAACGAAACACAAGTGTGGATGATATGCGCGAAACTATCAAAGTCGTAAAATTAAACCAACGATTTGAGCTATAGGTGAGTTTTTCCAACTCGATGAAACCTGTTTTAATTTGATACAGGCTTGGTTTAGAAACATAGTCCTTAGTTCGGTAAAAATTAGATCCGAGTTGAACAAGTAATTTTATATGGACCAAAGGAAACAAGAACCGAAGGGGATCCAAACTCAAGAGTTCCAGAACCAAAGTAAGATACGCACACAAGCGGAGCGGCCCATACATGAATGAAGATTCTGAAACATGCGACTTTCATTACACTTTTACTCCTTTCCTTGAATCAAAATGTATGTTTCTCAACATTACAGAAATTTCAAAAATCTCCATTTCTGTTGCCAAAAAGTTCCCTGGACGAACAAAGAGATAAATACAGCAATTACAATAATTTGAACAACAAAACAGGATCTAACAAGTGAACTCAATATTTGCTAAACCTCATCAATCCTTGGTCTCCCCCAGGGTGAAACGAACAAATCTTCGAACCTTGATATTTTCTCCTAAAGCAGCAATAGTCTGCTTCACCAAATCCTTTACTATCAGCTTGTCGTCTTTGATGAAGGGCTGCTCCAAAAGAGCAAGTTCTCCCAGCCTCTTTGAGATCCTCCCTTCTACTATCTTCTCCTTTATGTTGTCAGGCTTCGACTTCAAGTCATCTCTTTGCATCTCGATTTCTTTCTCCTTGTTCACTATATCCTGCGGGATATCCTCCACAGAAACATACTCGACTTGTGGGCATGCCACCACTTGCATTGCAAGATCATCCACCAACTCCTTGAACTTTTCGTTGCGCGCCACAAAGTCAGTCTCAGAGTTGACCTCAATAAGAACACCAATGCGAGAGTCATGGATATAGGAAGATATCCGACCTTCTACAGCCAGACGAGAGGATTTCTTGTCTGCAGATGATAAACCCTTTTTACGGAGATACTCCTGTGCTTTCTCAAGGTCTCCTCCAGTTTCTGTTAGAGCTTTCTTGCAGTCCATCATGCCAGCGCCTGTTTCTTCCCTCAGTTGCTTCACCAGTGCAGCTGACACTGCAGCAGCTGGTGGTCTGCAATATTACAGTTAGAACATTAAGATAGAGATTTAACCATGTAAAAATAATGTGGATATGGATTAATGCATTTTTAAAGCTGTGACAGACGACAAAATTCAACTCTTAACTTTTAGACGTCCTTAAAATTTCTTTTTCTCTATTTTTTCCCTCCGTCTAACGGAATAAAAGAAAACGGCTGGTATTGTGATTCTATGTCCAAAACAAATAAAGCTATTGAATAATGACAGCTGAATTTAACTACTTTTGGCAGTGCTTACTTAAATTCTTCAAGCAACGCTTCAGTAAGAACTACATTTTCAGTTCATACACTAGATTAAAGATCTTAAATGATCGTGAAGTATGAAAGGTTACCTCATTTACACCTTGAGATGATCACAGAAATCTACTTGTGAAAAGAAGAAGAGAATAGCGACTTACTTCTCAACAGTTTCCTGTGTTTCAACTGGCTGCTCTTTTGGAGCAGCTGCAGGTGCTTCTTTTGCTGAAGTTTGGGCAGCCACCTCAGCAGCGAAGTCCTGGCTCTTCTTCTCCAAGCCCTCCCCAAGATTATAGCGAACAAAACGTCTCACTTTTATATTTTCTCCAATCGTTGCAATTGTCTGCTTCACCCAATCTTTGACCACCATTTTGTCATTCTTAATATATGGCTGCTCAAGCAGTGCAAATTCTTCAAGTCTTTTTCTGATCCGTCCATCCACAATTTTCGACCTGATATTCTCTGGTTTTGAAAGGAGGTCCTCCTTCTGCATTTCAATCTCCCGCTCCTTGCTCACGATTTCTTCAGGGACATCTTCAGTGACCATGTAGCGTACTTGAGGACAAGCAGCCACTTGCATGGCCAAGTCATCGACTAACTGTTTGAAAATTTCGCCTCGAGCAACAAAGTCAGTCTCACAGTTCACCTCCATGAGGACTCCAATTCTGCTGTCGTGGATGTAAGATCCAATTCTTCCTTCAGCAGTGGCTCTACTGGACTTTTTATCTGCACTTGCTAATCCTTTCTTTCTGAGCAATTCCTGTGCTTTAACAATGTCTCCTCCAGTCTCAGATAGAGCATTTTTGCAGTCCATCATACCAGCGCCACTTTCTTCGCGCAACTGTTTCACAAGTGCTGGAGAAATTTTTGCTGCACAAGAAGCAGGAAAATGAAAATCAATATATTTAGTATTAGTGACTAAAAGCAAAAGTGTGATAACTCTGAATATGCACTTGCGTGTATTACCAGTTTGTCCATTTGAGGTTTCAGGAATCTCTGGGGTTTCAGGAATCTCTGACTTGGCATCATTTGCATCAACAGAAACCGCTTTGCTCTCCATCAATACAGGTGTTTCTGTCTCCAATTTATCTTCTACTGTTGTACTTTCTGCCTGAGTTTCATCACCTTCTTCAGGAACTTGAATTTGTTCTGATAATATCCCACCATCAACTTGTCCAGCAGAACCATCACCTGTTACAGGATCAGCTGACTTCCCATTTTCTTGAGAACTCAAACTTTTAGAACTTGTCTCATCTTCTGAGACACTTGCATTTCCTGTATCAGTTTCTTTAACTTCACCTGATACAGTAACCTCATCAACAACTGGAGCTTCATTGATTGCCGAACTTGTATCAACTTCAACACTGGGGTCCTGCATATCCTTTAATAAGGTCTCGGAAACATCATTGACAGCCTGAGGCAAATTTCTTTCAGGTTCCTCAACATCGTTTACGTGTTCAGTAGAAGTGGACTTTGCAGAAGGGCTTTCCTCAAGGACCTCTTCCGAAGCGGTCGACTCATCTTCTGTGAGAGTGACTGAATTGATGATGGCATCATCAACCTTCTCCTCTATCTCTTCTGAATTCTTCTGCAAGCTTATATTCTCAGAAGACTTCTGGGCTTTCTCTCGCTCATCCAAAAAAGAAGAAATGACTTCATTCTTGCGGAAAGCCAACTCAAATGGGTTTGTTGCTGCATGCCAGACCCCCTTATTAAGTTGCCTATTCAACTCCTCAACATCTTCTTCTTTTTTCATTGTTAGCGTCACCCTCCCTCTCGCAATGCGCAATACTCGTACATTGACTTCTTGACCAACCTGCAATGAGGAATTCCCCGAAACATTGCCAAACCCTTCAGATTCCTCAGACACAGGAATAAATCCTTCTTCTCCATCAGGAAGTGACACAAAAGAACCGGCTCTGATTGTATTCTTGACTGTGCCAGTTAGAACCTGTCCCTTCACGAAATTTGACTTTTTCTGCTCATCACCACGCTTCTGAGCAGATCTTGCAGCATTTTTCCTTGAGGATCTGGGCCTGTCGCTACTTTGACCAGTAGAACTTTCTCTTCTTGGTGGCATCTTACGGGCATCATCATTATCACGCATGGTTAAAGAGATACGCTTAGTCTCCATATTTGCTTCTACAATCCTCACTTTGACCTCTTGCCCAACAGAAACAAGTGAAGCCACATCCTTCACATAATCATCACTCATCCTAGAAACATGCACCAGACCATCAGTAAATGCTCCAAAGTCCACAAAAGCACCAAATGGCTGAATAGATCTCACTTTCCCCGTAAAGGAAGCACCAGGAACCAAATCTTCATCCTTTACTGGTGGCATTTCACTTTTCCTTGCAGGTCTAGAGCGCTTAGTTCTATCAGAAGTAACAGTAGGATCTTTTGGAGCAGTTTCACTTGTTTCAACATCACTGGTGGGATCTTCTGTTGTTTTCTCTGCATCCTCAACTGAAACAGAAAGATTGGGCTCCTCTACTGTTACATCAGCCCGTACAGCTGTTATGCTTCGGATTCCTGACCCATGTTTGGCAAGGAAACCACTTCTATAAATCTGAAATAGACGTAATGACGACTGAGATGACAGAAATCTTTCTGAAGATGGTGTCAATCGGTTGTGATTTCCATTGATATTATGTTTCGTCAACTGAATCTCTTTCCTTGTAGTGAAAGTAGCTCTTGGAAAGAAATGGATGTTGCCAGTAGAACAGTGAATAACTGGTGTCATGTTGAATATAGCCTTCAGAATCAGGATATTTATCAGCAGTTAGAACCTTGCATTCTTTTTTGGACTGCAAATGAAGAAATATAGTTGATTTAATTTGTTAGGATATACTTGTTAAAATAAAAAAAAGAAAATTAAAAAGTCAAGGACGAATATAATTATGTCCTCTTTTCTCCTTTTCATATTCTTTCTTTTTCTCTTTTGAAGGCTTACCTAAACTGCTCCTGGCCTTCCCTTCCATAATTTAAAATACAACAGCCCAATACTAAAGACCTATTCCAAGCATCTCAAGGAGGATATCTACCTTCTGCTCTCACAACTTTGGCACATATACCACATATGTCTATTTGAACATACACTACTTTATCATCACTCATTGTCATCTAATCCTTTCCCATTCAAGTGAATATGAAGTATGGATTAGAAGGTTCCAGTAAAGACTTGACAATTTTACAGATCGCCAAACAACTTAACATCAGGAAAAATGAAGGATTCAACAGATGAGAGAAGTTTGGCTCTAAGGTAATTTGGTAGGCATGACTTACATATTTTATTATACAATTTATAATTTTGCAACCGAGAAGCAAGCCCCCTATATTATTTAAGACGAAAAAAAGAGTCTACAAGAAGATTTGTCACAAAGAAGTGCACTCAATTCTGAAGCATTGATAAAACCAAATAGAGAAAGAAAATTCATCCCCAAGCATAAATGATTATTTGACTTATAATGAACAAGTGGATCACATTACATGCTTATTATGATACATACCGCAAATTCACGAGTATAGTTATAATTAGAGAACTCACAATCAATGATGACTATGGATAACAAAGCCCCGCATGCATACTTATGACAGTAATCTAAATCAAATCACTGTATGCATTTCAGATACTAGGAACAACGGCCTCATACTCTACATTAAGAGAAGAAAGTGAATTCCAACTTTACTGAAGTTCTTGAAGAAGTCATGACATCTGAATAACAACTTTAATATATATTTTTTTGAATAATCAACACCTAATTTACTAGAAAGAAAATACTGTCAGAAAGAGAGAGACTATTTTATGCCTTGTGTAAGTGTTCTCACATAAACTATCCACGCAACATACTTAGGCCCGAAGGTCTACGACCAAAGAACGTTATACGATCAACAAGGTTGTGTTCTTTATAAGTTTCGAGATAATAATATCATCACAAGAGATTTATGAATCCATCATCATCAAAAATTTATGACCTGGACAATGAAATTTAGACCAGGGGCATAAATGGCTACACATATAATACAGGGGCGTTGTATCAGCAATTAATTCTAGAGAGAGAGAGAAAGAGAGATCTCATGAACTCAGAAGTTAACTTTGTAAGAAACTCATATGCACTGATACTGCAAGCACAAAATCAAATTAATAGTTTTGAGTCCTTCAATCCATAAGTCACCACCAAGATGATTATAGTGGGCAAAAATCATGAACGGTAGAAATTATAGTAGTTAAGCATGAGCATGCACAGTGTGTAACATTACGTGATATTTGGCATTTGCTTCTTTCCCAATCAGACCAAAGGCTAGCCCACAGTTCCACAAGACATGCAGATGATTCAAAGATGTGAATTTGTATACTAGAACAATGACCATTGTGTCTACCCAAAGCATCCGTATTGCAAATGTTCTATTAGATGAATAGCTGTATTTCTTCATAGTGGTCATTAATAATGTATAGAGCCTACTTATCTAAGGATCACACTACATTCATAAGTATCCCAAATTTGTCCCCTAAGAAAAGTATTTGACTTCCTCCCTTTTACAATGCTTCTGATAATCTTCTTTGATTCCGTAGTGACCTAAGTGCCAAAGTAAGGTAAAATAAAATTCTATAATAACTTTTTTCAAACAAATAATAGTAACAATAAGTATAAAAATATAAAAGGAAGTAGAAAGAGACCAGTATAGTTTTCACCAGTATACTACAATGAGATATTTTTCAAAGAAAAAAGTAAACTACAGGAGAAGGCTCCACTGTAATTGCTGCATATCCTGCGTGTCATATTCATGTTCACTTGAGAGAAAACATAAAACCTATCCCAGTGCTAATTCTGGAAAGAACTACTTTATTTCATGTACTAGCAACATCAAGGATCTTGCCATGTCTAACAGTGTTTTGTTCCTCGTTCTTCGTGAAATTTTGTTCTGAAGTGTATAGGATGGTCAATTGTTGGATGATTGTTTTCTTCTCACACAATTTTTTGAATTATTCTGATAGATACTCACTACTCGCAATATTTTCAGGCATTGATATTATCAACCTCTGCCAAGTGATGTTGTAAGCACACTAGTGCTAAGACTTTTCACTTGTGGAAGATCAAGTATGCCAGATTGTATCATGTATACTCATATATAAAGCGATGAAGGAGCCACAGTTCGTGCCTTCACATTGACCGGTATGAAGATGTCAGTATGGATTAACCAATTAGTGACAATACAAATTTCACCTTTCCAAATTGTGTTCTTTTTGCCTTTTTTTTAAATAATGCTCACAGCTGGACTAGTTAACTATAGTGAGCAGGCAAAAAGATCACCTTGAACTAACCAATTCACCTGATCTTCTCCCTTCTAATCTAGCATGCCAAATAACATTATCATCATAGAATTTTACAAAAACAAAAAAATTCCTATCATTAATATCCGAAACTTAGAAGCTGTTCAAAACAAAAACAAAAAAAATGGTCAATCAGAACTAATCAATACAAAACACCATCACTCTCATTGAGCGTGTATTGGGTGATACAATACCTTAAACTCGATGTTATTCAATTTTTTGCCTCTTCAAAAGTAAGTGATAGTTGTCTCAGTAGGCACAATGTAATATCACAGATTTAAACAATTCATGTTACATGTTTAATGAGAAAAAAAATCAACTTCAAAACAAATTTAAATAAGCCAACATTTAAAAATTAGTAAATTAGGATCGAATTTCCTGTAATGCTCAGAACCTATGTAGCATGGGTACTTCTATCTAGAATGGGTACTTCTATCATGAAGTCATCCCTGTATCCTATACTCCATGCCTGTACTGAACACTAACACTTCTGTGGGCACTCATTGGATAAATGCATGCATTTATTTAAACATGCACTCAATTATGTAATACATATGTTAATTTGAAACACTTGTTATACACTTATGTGATGTATATCTTACACTTCACATCAACTTCTTGAAACTCGTTGGAAACAGGTCGGGTTCATTTCAGCCTGTACCAGTTTAGGACAATAACTTTTAAAGTGTCATTTGGGTACACATCAAAAAAAAATTCTATATACTAAAGAAAGATAAAAATTGTTGTAGGAATTTTAATTCTCATAACATGTGGATGAAACAATATTGATATCATGTAATTATTAATTTCAAGACACACATGCGCACGCACACAGAGTCGTATCCCCATTCCCTAACTTTTACAAATTGTGGTGCCCTATACCTGTACCTGCACCCAACCCCCTCCCATGTCTGTAACATCTCGGAACTACCTTGATGATCTATACTCTTAAATTTTGCAATTAAACATGGTGCATAAAAATACGAGACCATTTAGGAGCCAACATATGTTGCATCCTCCAAATAATATACATGTTCAAACTTACAATTTTAAAATTTTTAATATGATTCAAACATGACATCAGAGATTGTATTATGTTGTCGGCCTATATTTAAAAAATAGTTTTGAATTTTTTGTCATCTAAAGTTCAAAAAGTAGGCTCATCACTACTCCGCTCGGCATAATAGAACTCTCTGAGAGAGTCATTATACGAGCCAAAGTCAATAACATTCCTAGTGCCAATCATAAACTCCTCGGTAATCTTGTCAGCAATTAGTAAAACACTCTGAGGTCATTGTTGAACGTTCCGAAATCAGAAGACATGATCATCGAGACCTCATCTTGATCGCCTACAAGCTAGCTACTAGTGTATCGTATGGCTTGTTTCAGCAATACAACTTAAGGATTCACCCGTTCAAACACAGCATGCTCAACCTAACCACAAGTTGTTGCACAGCATGCTATCATGCATAGAGTGTGCATGCAGCTCCCAACCCATCTCCAAAGTGTACGTCAGTGCATGCGGCAAGTTCCTGAGGGACCGCCACTCAGTCTGGTGCAGTGTGAGCGATCCACAGGTTGCAAGAAAATCCCTCGAGAAGTGCAAAAATTCTTTCCTATATGCACATAAGTTATGGTTCATGCAGGTTCTATTTCGATGGTGCATCTGTTTGGGAAATTTCCTCACACCAACAGGATTTATTGTTGTCGTAGCCGAAGGAAATCCTGCGATGATGACATACTTGTAAGTATCCAACCTAACTAGCGTTACAGCTTGGTCGAAGCCCTACACTCCATGATCTTAATTTAGTTTATAGTCGAAACATGATAATACAAAAGTTAAAACTAAGATCATCATGAACTAATTAGATTATGAATCTACAAATAATCATTATCTCACAAACTAGAATTGGTCGATTCTTGCACTTTGATACCATGCTAAGATCATACTGATATGTAGTATTTATACCAACAGAATCATGTAGAAGCATAAAGATGTGCAGACTTGATATCGCATCTCACAACCATTCATAGATGGTGGGTGAAACTAATCAAAATTGATGCCTTCAACATCTTGGCAACAGGAGATGCCTCAATAATGATTCCCCCCCTAACCACAATGCTAATTCTGACATGTCAAGCAATAAAAATTGATGAAGGAATACTAAATTCCATTGGTGATAAATTACATACCAAACGGCCCAGAGATGGGGTTATTTATAACCCTCATCAAATCCTTCTCCCAATTGCAACAAGAAGCCACTCGTCCATTGATGAAATCTAATGTCTCACAAAATCATCATCGACTAGGACTCAAACCAAACCCTTTGAGGACAAGAATCCTATCTAGGACCACAATTCTAAAACATAAGATTCAAATTGATCACTTGCCCAATTCCCGAGCACTAGTTCTGTCCCAACCAGCCCAGTGCAGCGGTCTGGCACGGACACGGCCACCTGCCCAATTGGGTGGCTTTCAGCAGTAACCAATCGCTCGCATGGCAAAACGTCCAATTTATTTATATTTCATACACCAGTTACATGAAAAGAAGATCCAAGGTGTTCATCTGAAAACTTTCATTCGCACCAACTCATACAAAGGGATGACGAGAACAGTAGCAGAATCTCCTAAATTCACATTTTCTGAATGCAACATCAAGAATGCTACTCCGTCAACAAAATCAGCGGTTCTTAAAATTACCCATTTTGAATATTTCCAGTTTTCCCAACACTGTAATCGCCTGAAGAATCAAAACATTCAGAAGATGGAGGGGGGGGAGTATACAGGACCACAAAGCAAAGCAAAGCAATCCAAGTAATGGAATGGTACTCAATTAATGGGGGAAAAAATATAATAATTTGCAAAGGTACATACAAGGAAACGAAGTAATTGAAACTAAATTGCAGGAAAGAGGATGGAAAAGAGAGAACCTCTGGTTTTGGGGGGGTTCGGACCGAGAGAAGACAAGGGAGAGCACTGCACTGTTCTCACTGCAGCAGAACTCAGGAAAGAGAGGGAGAGAGCGGGGCAATCACTTCATCTTATCCTCTATTTTCTGTGAGAGGGAGGGAGAGTTGAGGCTGTGGCCGTAACAGATAACGAGCCGGGTCGGGTCATCCTTCGTTTGAGAAAAGCGCACGCTTTCATTCATCTTTACCGTAGCATTGTTAGTATTTGTTTGTAGAAAAAAAAGGGAGTCCGTCTCGAATATTTGAGCATTCTGTTAGACCTTTAAATATATTTAATGACTATTAAGTTTTGATAAATGGATTAAACTATAGGTTTCTAAATCCGTACGCGGGTAGCGTGAATAATGCACCATTATTAGACGTACTTAGCACTTTTCGCGCTTGTCGTTGCCGCTTAAATATTCTAATTTTTATATGTTTGAGTATATTATTTTTAATATTATTTTGAATTTTTTAAAATATGAATAGACAAGTGACTGTTGAAAAGTGTTTGTTTGATCCAAGAGGTGTTTTGAAAAGTTATTACTGTTGGAAGTACCTTTTCAAACCTATAAATAGTTTATGGTTTTAGATATCTTCACTTCACTTCTTTTTCAAAGCTTTTCTATCAAAAACATCTGCAATACTACAAACTTCTTTCACAACAAATTAGTGAAATTTTCTAGATTTCCTTACTGAAATTTTTATTTTCTGTTGTATCCTGGAAAGAAAATTTGTATTAACCCGAAGCAACTTTGAATATTAATTAGGGAAAATTGCTTCCAGCCCCCAAAACAACCCAGAACGCGTGCTCTGCCCCCCAAAGACTTTTCAACGTGCCTTTTCCCCCAAAACCGCCCCGATTTTTTCCAGCCCCCAAACGAGATCCCCAGGCCAGCTTCGTTTAAAACGCCGCTCGAAATGCCCAAAATACCCTTCGCAGCCTGTGTTCCGTCGCCTCGTCCGACGGAAACCCATCGTTTCGACTGTAAGGCATTAAATGGTGATATGAATGACTTTTTTTTGGGGGGGGGGGGCGGGATTCCATTTCCCTCCAAAATTATCATCAGATATTATCACCAGTATATCCCCCTTCAAGCTAAGTTGTTCCTTCCACTTAATTCTCCTCAATAAAAGCCTCTTCGATTCTTCAACCACTCCCTGTAATAAAATGGCGATGGATCTCTTCTATGCGTGGTAACGAAGGCAAAAAGCAGCAAAGGTGGTGACGGTGTATTCGTCGTTATCAAGAGAATACAGAAATAATCAGCTTGAAATACGAGTGGCGGAAAGGCTTAAAAATACCATGCAATCTCTTTTCACTGAAGTTCATATGCGAAAGGAAAAAGAAATTCAGCATTTAATTGACAATGACGACGACTTAAATTTGAATGTTCGAGTATTGTCGGCGTAATGGATTTACAGACGCGAATTTGTATGCCACCTCCGCCTGCGGAATCCTCACTCGCGAACACGCAGACTACGCCGGAAACTGCGTAGGAATTACACTCCAGATTTCCTTTTGAGTTCACTGATAGGTTTTGCATTATTTGTTAACCTCATGCATTGGTTGCTTTGTAATGGGTGTGGCTGCCAAGGTTATGTAAGCACTGGTTGTTAAAGTTATTTGTTGCTGTTACGTATACTAGTTGGTTGCTAAGTTAAGGTGTTTGATGTTAGTATATGCGTTTGTGTTAAGGTCACGAGTCTGCCCTTAAGTTAAGGTTAGTTGTTAAGGATATGTGTAGGTTGTTACGTTTATGAGTTCGTTGTAAGGTTATCAGTTCGTTGGCTAAGGCTATGTATTTTGATTTATACTTCAGGACAATACCCGACAGAAAATTCGCGGTGCGCAGGATACCCGTTCACAAACCTGTAATGATGAGTGCGTATTCCTAATGACAACCCCACCGGCGACTCGATCATGCTACTGGAAGACATGCTAATCACCAAACAAAGATCCCAACTGAGTGGCACACCTCCATACGTGAAGTTGGTTAGAAATTTGATAGTGCTGCTGAAGTTAGATTAGCACTTCAATACATTCAATGGCTAAACGGTTCGAGTATGATTTTTACCCACAATGAACAAAGACGCATAAGAGTCTATTGCCGATTCAAACACACACATGGTTGCCCTTGGATGTTGTTTGCTTCCCCTCAGAAATTCGTTATCATGTCCATTAAAGAATTTCGAGTCTACCCACACCTGCGGTCAACATGGAGCAAATGCTGGCAACTCAAGGGCATCAAGGAAGTTCATTGCTAGCCAAATACAAGCTAATTTTGAAGGTATGGCCAGATCTTCGTGCGGTCGATATCAAGAACGACATGCTCTCTAATTTTGGCATCAAGATTAACTATAGTAAAGCGTGGTGGAGCAAGGAGACAGCTCAATAGGACCTGTCGATGACGATGATGGCACTAGCGAGTCACTAAGATGGTCCTTATCGTTTTTATTCTTCTGAATCACTCTTACCTTTTGGTTGCTAACTATATGTAGTAGTTGTTACTTGGCAGTTCGACGTTAAGTGTAAGTGTTGGTGTTAAACTATACCGTATTAACGTTTGTTTACAAGTTATCGTGTTCGTCGTTAAGTATACGTGTTGGTCGTGAAGTTTGAAAAGATCATTTGTTATGGTTATGAATCCTTCGGCTAAATGCACTGCTTTGGTTGTTATATTCATGCAGTTGAATCCATGGTGCATGGCAAGCTAATCCAGGGAGTCGTGTTTGTTATTGATGCGAATGACAGGAGGTTCAGGCGACTGTTTCATTAGTTATAATGCTGTATTGAAGGGTTCATTGCTGGGTGTAGGCTCTAATTGTTTTTGGAATGGATTTATTAAAGATCGTTACAGAGGCATACTACTTAGCTACTGGGTATGACGGCAACCAGGGAATATTTCCCTTAGGCTTATTGCGTATGCGACGCAAGAGAATGAGGTTAACTGAAATGGTTCCTTACAAAGGATTATGGAACTTACATGTATGATTAGGGAAAATCCTTACCAACCTGCCACATCGACTGGTAATGATTTCCAGAACCCGACAGGTATCAGGGGCAGGCAGTCGAGGAATTCTTTCAGATGCATTCCATCAAAGTGTGTTCTGCATCTAGTCGCGAGAATTG